GACTTATTCTAAATTTTAAGCATATCATAAATTTTTCAATAAATATGAGGTCAAAAAATAATCAAGATGTTGTTCTGATCATATTTTAGTTCATTTGATATGTTGAAGATGTTCTGACATGACTCGTCCTACATTTCAAGCATATCCTGAATTTTTTCGATAAATATGAGGTCAAAAAATAATTTAAATGATGTTATGATATTTTATTCTATTTGAAATGTTGAGGATGTTCTTACATGACCCGTCCTATATATTAGCATATATCCTGAATTTTTTTATAATGGAATTTAGAATTATTTTAAAAAAATTAATTAGCATGTATTTTCCTAATTAATTTTTCATGTGAGTTACTATTAAAAAATTATTGACTGAAATTTGTTTTTTCTCAATTGAGCCTACTATAAGTGGTGTTTGACTTCCTAGTAGTGGAGAATGAAATTCAAATGCGAGATATAATTAAATTTTGATCGCCTTATAAAATTTATCTTGGAATGTAATTTAAACTCTCAAATTTTCTTTGTCTAAAAATGGAGAGAAAATTAAGGAATAGATCTTTTATTTCTCTTATAATTCATTATGAACATGGTCTTGCAACATGGCCAAATTAAATTATATTTCTTAATTAAACTCTTGCAACATGGTTTATATATCTAGTATAAGTAAATGACCAAATTTTACATTTATATTATTAGTAAAACAAAATGTTTAATGATCTGGCCAAAATAAATTATATTCCTTAATTAAGCTCTTGCAACATGGTCATCTAGTATAAGTAAATGACCTTTTACATTTATATTATTAGTAAAACAAAATGTGTTATGATCTGGCCAAATTAAATTATATTCCTTAATTAAGCTCTTGCAACATGGTCTATATATCTAATTAAGTAAATCACCAAATTTTACATTTATATTATTAAAAAAAATGTCTAATGATCTGGCCAAATTAAATTATATTTCTTAATTAAGCTCTTGCAACATGGTCTATATATATATAGTATAAGTAAAATGATCTGGCCAAATTAAATTATATTCCTTAATTAAGCTCTTGCAACATGGTCTATATATCTAGTGTAAGTAAATGACAAAATTTTTACATTTATATTATTAACAAAAATGAATGGTACTTGGACAATTAATCAAATTTGACCAATTATAACTTGCCAATTTTTATTTTTTTTGGGTATAAATAAGGGTGTGTTATCATTCATTTATACACATCTACTTTTTTTTTCTTGAAATAAGGTCTAGTAAATATTTACTTTAATCTAGTAGTAATGGAAGTTCAAACAAAAAGTGAAGAAACTACTATGATGGCGCTTGTATCGGAAGGAGGAGTCATTTTCTCAACAATTAACATGTAAGTTAATACTCTCTTTAGTAAAATCATCCTTGAAATTAAATTGTATTACTATGTGTACATCGTTATTTTTGTATAACCATCTTGTATCTGATGATATGTCTCACATTGAATCGGGATAAGATCTCATAACTCGGTCAATCCTCTCTTTTTTAGGTTTATTGCTATGTGTACATCGTTATTTTTGTATAACCATATTGTATGTGATGAGAATATTGTCTCACAATGAATTAGGATAAGTTCTCATGATTCGGTCAATCTATCCCTTTTTGAGGCAGTTTTTTTTTAAGTCAGTTTGGTTTTAAATTAAATTTTCATAGTATAAGGTCCACGTATTTTTATTTTATTTTTAAAAAATGAGTTTAGCTCGAAGTAAGGTCTAGTGCATATTTACTTTGATCTAGTATTGATGGAAGTCCAAACACAGAGTGAAAAAACTACTACGATGGCAGGAGGAGGAGTTAATTCTCCACAATCAACAAGTAAGAATATACTCTCTTTCATAAAATCTTCCTTGAAAATTAAGTTATATTGTTATATGCATCATTGTTTTTAGTTAACCATCTTGTATGTGATGAGAATGTCCCACATTAAATTGGGATAATTAAGATCTCATGATTCGATCAATATTTTTTATTTTTAAAATAGTTTAGTTTGGTTTAAAATTTAATTTTATAGTATTAGAGTTAGATTCAGTAATCCAAATGGTGTATGGTCAGTGTGGGCATGGGGAGGGGCGGGGGGGTTAGAATGTCCCACATCAGTTTCGGACAAGATCTCATGATTCGGGCAATTAATCTCCTTTTTAACTAGTTTTTTTTTCCCAAGTGATTTAGGTGCAAACCGTAATTTTTTTTTATAGTATGAAAGTTAGATTCATTAGTTCAGATGGTGTGTGATGGGGAATGAGAATGTCCCACGTCAAATGGAAAAAAAAATCTCAACGCTCCTTATATATGACTTAGATAATTCCTCTCAATTTAAGCTAACTTTTACATCTGATGCTTTTTAAAGTGTGGAGTAGCATTTAGCTATGGCCAAAACCTAATATGACAGTATGTGAAATTCATTACATAATCTTAATTAATCTACTATAAAGGGAAGTGGTCCCCATTATACAATTTAATTCCAAGGATTAGAGGGCTACATAGATCGATTTAATTCGATTTTTTACCTTATTAAACCAAGTCAATAATAATCGATTTTTTCAGTGTCAAACTTTTCCCCCTTCTAGTAAAGTCTCAACAACACAGACATATAATTTAATATTTAGTATTTCTTTTGACCTAATAAGATATAAACAAGATCCTTTAGCCACCTAGAGTTATAAGACCCTATAGCTTGGGACAAAATGGACCATGACTTTTGGAAAGATGACACTTAATTAGGTGAAACACTATTAATTATCACTTAATTTTCAGTTAATCTTAGTTCCTCTAGTAGACAAAATGTCAACATCCAAATTAGATACGACAAACACACATAAATTAGAAAATTAAATCGTATTTGGAATATCAAATCACGGTTTAAGTGTGTTTATTACAAATATTACTAGTTCATGATTTGCCATTATCAAAAGGAACTAAAAGTTTATACTTAACTAGCAACAAACACACATAATCTATACTATTTAGGAATTTTTAATTGTTACATACCTTAATCATTTAGTGTATATATACTACAATTTGGCAGAGGGGACCCGCCGTTCTAGGTGGGTGCACGTGCATTCGATGACTTCGAAAAAATTCATGTATATATATGCATATCTATTTTAAGAAACTGTCAGAAATTAGGATATCATTAGTAGTGCATTCATAAAAAGCATAGGAATGTCATTATTCTATCGGTACAAACTAGGGGATCCATCTGTGAAACTTGAGTCTGAATTCAGCTAAAGTGTTTATTTTTATTTTAAATTTCATATTTAAGCTAACATAATATTGGTGCACCCAAAGTCTTCTAGTTTGCCTCATTTTGGTAGTTGCTTATAGACAAAAACAAAAATATTTTTTGTGTTAGGTTTACCCTAATCGACATATATTCTAGTTTGCTGCTTTATATGATTTTCAAAGGGCCTTTATTTATTTTATAATGAAGTATTATTATATAACTTTTCATTTCTCTAATGATTATGTTAACGGATAAACGGTTATAGTCAAATGTGATTAGAGGGTTTCTGTAGCTAATTGATTTTCCTAATTACTTCCATTGTCTGATTATGTCATGTAAATTAGAATTAACAAAGGCGAATCTAGAGTTTGAAGACTTTGGTGCACCAATATTACATATGATCTGAACTTAAAATAAAAATAGTGAAATAAACAATCTAGCTAGCTGAATTCAAATCTAGGTCTTGTGAGTGAATCTTCTAACTTGTACCAGCAACACAATAATATTCTTATGCTCTTTATGAGTTTATTGTTAATTATATCCTATTTTTTGAGACAGATATACATATATACAGATGTTTTTTTTAGAAGTTAACGGATGTACGTGCACCCCACGAAGGTGTGTCCGCCTCTGTTAGTAGTTGGTTTTAAATTTAGGGATCATTTGGTAGCTGATTAGGTTTATGAAGATATTAATAATGTAGGATTTGTTATGAGTGAACCTATGTATCAATATTTTGTGCATATATTAGTTATTCAACTGCTTGTCCTACGTAAATAATACTTATATTCACTCATAACTTATAAGAGTACATGTATTAGTTATGCATGTTTCTAAAATTGTTTACTAAATTGTCATAGTAATTTTATACATTAATAATTTATTTCCAATTTATCTACCAAACGTCGTATAAGTTAAACAAAGATCAATACATGAATAACTTATTTCTTTTCTAGCTACCAAACGATCCCTTAATATATGTGTACATATTTAACAAACTTCTTCATACGAATACACTATTTAAACAAAAATTACTTATTCCAATTGAATTTAGACCCTAATTTCTAGCTCCGCCCCTGAAAAATAACAATACCTAGGTGAAACGGATCCATACACTTCTATTTGAAATTTGAATAATATTTTCTTTTCACTCAAAAAAATAATATTTTGAATTCGCCTTTAACTTAAATCAAACAGATATAACGTAAAGATTCAAAATAATTGGTGGAAATGAGATTTAGGAGTTTATTGTTGAGATTTAGCATAATAATCGAATAAATGAAGGGACAAAAAGTTGAATGATCATTTTCTAATTAGATCTCTTTGACTCTTTAATTAACAGAATTTTTGCACAGATATTCAATATAATTATGTATTACGGCGTCAATCTTGGGCCTTGTTTGGTTTTATTTTTATTTTTATTTACATGTGAAGCCCATATCCTCTTTATATGCTCCCTACCCACCTCCTTTAATTAAAATAATAAATTTGTTATTCATCTTTAAATTTTTATTTTTTTTTAACTTTTATGGTTTAGATTCTGTCAAAAGCATATATCTTTCATGAGTATGTATCCTAACCACTAGAAAAATGATAAAATCCCTTCTTTAGCTTTTCTAAACTCTATATATACCCTACTTGCATTTGTTCATTTTTATAATTCTCAAACATATACCTAAACCATAGTATTATTATTACTTCCTCTTGTTCTAAGTACTAATAATAAAAAAAAGTATATTTTGTATGCAAATATGGCTACATTAGGTGATAACAAAGACAATGATGTGGTATCCAATTTGAAGCATGAAAGAATGCTTAGCATGAAAGGAGGCAAAGGTGAAGCTAGCTATGTCAACAATTCTCAAGCCCAGGTTTAATAATCGATCTATTCATACATTGTTTCAATTCGTAACATTCATTTGCCATATATAAAAAATTTTCTAATTTAAATTGGTTTTGTATTTTGGTAAAACTCTCAAAAGGAAAAATAAGACATAATAAATAATTTCTTATTTTGTGTGTATTATTAAAACTAATATTTGAGACAACATATGATATTTTCCTAAACAGAAGTCAAAAAGTAATATGTCATTAAAGTGATGGTCAGTTATAAAAATAATAAACATATAATATTTTCCTAAACAGAAGTCAAAAAGTAGTATGTCATTAAAGTGATGGTCAGTTATAAAAATAATATTTTATTATAAGTGTATAGTTACGTAGCATGGAGAATAGATAGAGAAATGCGGAAATAATGGTGATATTTGCTAATCCCGAGGATGATTTACCGTTAAAAGGAAAACAAATTAATGAATTTTATATGGTTTATATAAATATCTAACTACTTTATTTTATTTGATAAGGTCACAAAAAAAAAAAATTATGGTCCCTAGTTTTGTCAAAACCACTACTGGCTAAAAAAGTGTTTAAATTGACTTAGTTTTATGTATTTTTTGTTTTTAAGTACTTTTTAATTTGAAAAGTGTCTGGTTTTATGCTTAAAAGGTACCTTCGTTCATTTTTAATTTTTATGTCGTGTTTTTCAAAGTTAATTTGATTAATTTTTAAAAATAATTTAGGTTACATTAATTTGATATTTTAAATAAAAAAATAGATGTTAAAAAATTATGCGAAAAGCACTATTATAAATTGCAGTTTTTTGTCTATTAATATGATGAAAAAATATATTGTAAAATGTTAGTCAAAGTTCTTGTAATTTGACTCTAAAAAAAGAAACTAACTCAATTAAAAGTGGACGGTGATATTACTATCTTCATCCATTTCTAATTGTCATAGTTTCTTTTTTTTACGGTCAAACGATAATAATTTGACTAAAATTTCAGATGTAATTTTTTTCCATCATATTGATATTTAAAAAATTGAAATATATAATACTTTTTGTATAATTTTTAAATATTTAAATTTTTTATTAAAAATATAGAATGAATGCAGTCTAATTAAACATTGAAAATCAATCTAATTAGCCTTTAAAATGAGTAACATAACAAATAAAAATGGACGCAAGAAGTATAAAAATAAATTGGTCAAAAGTCAAAAACAGATAGATCTGTCTTTTGGCTTTTGACTTTTGACTTTCTGTTCTTGATTTTGATCTTCAAATTGTCTCTTGAAATATTGTAACATGTTTCTATAAAATGGGACCAAGAGAATAGTAAATTATAAGTATTTCTTTAAAAAAAAATACAAGTTGTGCTTGAAATTTGATAGGTGCCTGATGTAGTGTTGGATAAGCAAAATGTTGCATACAACAAAGGAAGGATATACATCCATGGTGTGATTTGGCTAGTTTCCTTTGTGCAAGGTCTAAAGAAATGAAGAGATGAATTGAACATGATGATAATTGTTCAATAAGGACTTCTTTTAGAAAGGATGAATTGTTCGATAAGGCATAAATATATGCTAATGTTAATTTGTATGCCAAATGCAGGATAATTCTGACATAGTTTGTCACGGAATTCAGAAATTCATACTATAAACACAGAAACACAGGAGGTAAGTACAGTCCAGATGCTTTCAATCATGTTCACCTTCATGATTTGAATGTTTCCTCAATATGTTATAAATTGATTTCTTAGGTTTCTGCGCCCTTACTTTGAGTTTGTAGGTCAGAAGATTCATTTCAAAAGTGACTTTGCTGGCATCAGGTGGAGCTGGACATATCTATCCAACCACTACTAATCCGCCAGTATGGTTTTCAATATCTTCTCCTCCAAAATGTTGTTAGTTATAGCAATGTCACTCCTTATGATCAGTAAGATTATTCAGAGTCCTAAACAGTGATATGGAAGGGGAAGGTGGGAAAGGGAAGCCCTTCCTTGGTGCGAGGTGGCTAATACTTAACTTTTTTACCATATGACTAGCATGCTTTTTCTACCCGCAAAGGGTTTGGGTAAGGTCTGCATATATCTGACCTTCCCCATACCCCACTCATGGGAAAGTTGCTGTTGACTAGCATGCTTCTGCAGTTTTGACAAATATACAAGGGTGTGTTCAAAATGTTGTGCGGATGACATTGGATATGCAACTTGAACTTTTCAGGATAAAGGCATCAAATTTTCTTCATTGTGGGATTAATTCATGTAGAAACGATTTCTAGACTAGCAGTCGGTTCTCTAATTGATGGTCCTCCTTTGATCATTTTTTGGATGGTTGACAAGTCTTTGTTTACGAGGTTGATGGATTATCTCCAAAGGTTGCATTGGGGGATTTTATTGATGTAGATAGGGATGTGCAAATTATTTTTCTTCAGGAAGAAGGGTATCAAGTTCTTCATTGGGGGATTAATTGATGTAAAAAAAGATTTCTAGACTAGCGTGTCTTCAATTGATGGTCCTCCTTTGATCATCTTTTGGATGGTAGACAGGTCTTTGTTTGCGAGGTTGATGAACTATTCTCAATGATTGCATTAATAATTACAATTCTCTGACTTGTGTTGCCAGGTTTGTGCTATTCCACCCGACTGCCTTGGCTGATGAAGGCCTTCCCATCAGACCATCAAATGCCAGAGAGAATGCTTTTCTGATAACTGAAGCTGTCAGAGGTGATGGAGGGATTCTTTACAACTTAGATATGGAGAGATTTATGCCATCGTATGATGAAAGAGCCGAGCTTGCCCCGAGAGATGTGGTAGCAAGAAGTATTGATGACCAGCTCAAAAAGCGTGGTGAAGAGTATGTTCTTGATATCAGTCACAAGCCCAAAGAGAAGATTCTTTCTCATTTTCCTAACATAGCTGCTGAGTGTCTCCGCTATGGGTTAGACATAACACAGCAGCCGATTCCAGTGGTTCCCGCAGCTCACTACATGTGTGGTGGAGTCCGTGCTGGGCTCGAAGGTGAGACTAATGTACGAGGTCTTTATGTGGCAGGTGAAGTTGCATGTACTGGTTTGCATGGTGCAAACCGACTTGCTAGCAACTCCTTGGCTGAAGAACTAGTGTTTGCACGAAGAGCTGTACAGCCTTCAATAGATCACATGAACCTATCTAAAATCGGTCACAGTGCTTCAAATTGGTGGCAGCGGCCTGTAGCACCCTTGTTACTAGGAGATACAGTAGTTAACAAAGTCATTCATCAGACAAGGGAAGTGAGGAAAGAACTACAGTCAATCATGTGGGAATACGTTGGAATTGTTCGTTCTACCTCACGACTAACCCTTGCAGAAACCAGAATCATAGAGTTGGAGTTAAAATGGGAACAATACCTATTTCAGCATGGCTGGGAACCGACTATGGTTGGTTTAGAGGCTTGCGAGATGAGGAATCTCTTCTGTTGTGCGAAGCTGGTTGTTAGCAGTGCCCTTTCCCGACATGAGAGTCGTGGGCTTCATTATACCATTGACTTCCCTCACGTCGACGAAAGCAAGAGGTTGCCTACAGTAATTTTTCCTTCGTAGCTAAATAGCTCGCGGCAATTACATAAGCAGCAGATATGTTAGATATGCCATTCTCATTACTTTTGGAGGTGAAGTTATTCTTTGATGAACTATTACTAATTATATGCTTATACTATATATAACTAAATTATAGAAGCAAGAAGAGAGGAACTTGAGCACACTCAAGTTTAATTTTAGGCCCTTTGTTAAAATTGTGCATTGTTTACTTGTAATGTATGATAGTAGGCTCCCTAATGAAAAATCACCAGTTATCTTTCTCATCCATTCACATAACTATGTCGATACTGAAATTAAGTAAAAACAGCCACGAATTGGAAAAGTCCATAAGAAATACTTTTAAGTCATACACAGTAAGTTGAGATGAATTCAAAACAAAAGATTATATTTCTCAACCCAATGTTATATTGATTTAGACACACTCAAATTTAAACAAGAAAGTAAGTTTTCATGCCGACTCTATTCTTAGCTAGGAACGGACTCGGGAACAATATTTTACAAACATAAAGACAAACTAATTTGCCTTAAGTATCACGTAAAGATAAATTTTATTACGATATTAACACTTGACATTAGGACAGCTAAACTCGAGTTGTTTCATGCCATAAATAAACTCGGACACTCAAGAAATCTGTTGGACAGGCGGATTCACAAAGTCTGTTTGATTTTATTTTAACTCATCACATAGTCTTCACAAAAGGGAATAGTTTCATGTTAACTTATTTGTATACTGATCGTTAATGAAGTGAAAACAGACCATTAGTCATTCTTCAATTCACAACACTAACAAGATACGAGCATCATAATTTTATCCAAACTAATTACAATATGTTCTTAATTCAGAGATACATGAGACAGATTGTGGGAGACATTTAGAAAGACAAGATTATATGAACTGAGGATATGCAAACGGCCACAAAGTTTCAGAATCCAAAAATCAAAATATATAAAAAGATATTGACGACTACTAAGCTTGTATAGGGCAGCAAACTATAGCTTGTTGTCAATATACTTCCACTTCAAACTCTCTCTCCAACTCGAAAAATGAAAAAAAAAAAAAGAGAACAAAAGATAACCTTAAAATTTGTTGCGCTCTCTATTGCTGGGTGATTTTTCGAAGCCTTGGATGATCTTACTTGTTTTTCTCCCTGTTTTTTTGGGCAGATGGATGATCTTTGAATGAGAACCGAAGTCCTCATTTTATAGTCGATTTGGGGCTCCAAGAATTCAAACTTTGAATTCTTGAAAATGCAAATCTTAGAGGAAAAGACAAGGTATATATATATATATATATATATATATATATACTAGATAGTTTGCACGGCCCAACATTAAAGGATCATATGAGTACGATCCAAGGGCTCGAGCCTCGATGGATAGTGAGGGGAGGGTGGATCATTCAAAAAAAAAAGTTGGGTCAAGTTATACAAGTAACTTTTGATTTTAATTCAAGTAACTTTTGATTTTAATCCAATTTATTTTTATTAATCTAGTCTATTTGAACTTGTCCAATTCCAATCTAATCGGTCCATTTGAAACCTATCTACCTGTTTTGTATATTGCTAGTTTGACTGCTTGATTAGGCTGCATACTTGAGTTACTTTTAAGTTGTTTATTTATGATATTTGATTACAAGCTTATCTAATACAATATATATATATATATATATATATATATATATATATATATATATATATATATATATATATATATATATATATATATATATTATATATATATTTAATTAAATGAATAACCACAAATACAATGCATTTTTATAATAAATATAGTATAATAAAAATATATTAAATGAAATATATTACGTTATAGAAATGTACATATCCTAATTATTACTTTAATTTGAGAAATGAATAGATAACTGTTTATAGATTTTTAGAATGCGTGACTCTTTTTGAATCATATTATTGCTAAATATTTCGTACATCAGATTATTTTTATTTTAATTAAACTTGAGTTTTGCAGGTTTGATCCATCATCCAACATGCCAAAACCAATGTTCCTGATCTACTTTAAAAGCTACACGTCGTCTCTTATGATTCTCAATAACTTTACGATAAAAAAACATTTGTTCTGGTGTTCGCTTTTCTGTTTCACTGTCACCAAACTGTAACCTATATGATTTACTTGCTTTGTATTTTTCAAAGAACTCGTTTTACCATGTTTCAGGTAAATCGTCAAGCTTCAACCTCTGAGACATTGTATCAGATTCTGACTCGCTTTATCTCGATCCAACACCAAAACTTGACTTAGATTGGACCTGGAAAAAAGCAAGGAATGTGAGTCATGCTAAATATTAACAGAATCAAAAAATGCAACCAAACAAGATCATGGATTTCAGAGTAGTAGCCATCTCCACGGCTTCAACTTATTTTCTCCCACAACAACCATACAAACTGAAACATTAATCTACACTCCACTATCTAGCGAGTTTTTAAGAGTTAAGAGAAAAGTGATACATGTAACAACAATAGTACCACCCTTTTCCTGTCTCCCTACCTTCATGAGTCAAAAAACTATTGATTGAATGTTCTCCAGTTCCGATTCATACTAACAGTAAGTCATCAATTTCAGAAAAAGTAATCCTGTTCCAGCTGTGGTTTTTCACCCCCAAGTATCGTGCTTTACATAGTTCTTTCAGCATCCAATAAACTAATATGACCACTAACTTCCTATCGTAGTTAGTGTTCTGCTACTATTTGTTGTTTTTGTTACTATCTACTCTATTTCATATACTACTTATTCTGGAATGCTTTGAACTATTTTTCCGTTGAGCAGAAGGTCTATCAGAAACAAATTCTCTACGTAAGGTAGGAGTAAGGTCTATGTACACTCTGCTCTCTTGATATCCCACTTTGTGGACCAAAGTGGATATGTTATTGATGTTGTTGTATGAACATTACCTACTAAAGTTAATAATTTCACATGAAAGCAAATATCTTTCACCTTAGATATCCCACTTTGTGGACCAAAGTGGATATGTTATTGATGTTGTTGTATGAACATTACCTACTAAAGTTAATAATTTCACATGAAAGCAAATATCTTTCACCTTAGATAACACAGTGCTTGTACCAGAGACACCTTCACGCTGTTGAGCCCCATCTTGCGAACAATTGTCAAGTGTAAAATACACATCATCACTATGTAATTGCAAATCTGCAATTGCAAAACAATTAACCTAAAAAACTAATTAAAACGCACATTGCAATTCAAATGCTTATGAAAGTGCTTACAATTTGGATTGAACTTCGGAATTACGGAAGCAGTGTGAATTAACGACGGCGGTTTATCGGATCGGAGGAAGAGAGAAATAGATGCTTTATCAAACAGGAGAGCACGAATACGAAGCTGTAGGTGAATCTGAACCCTAGTTTTTGCATCGTCTGTTCTCATGAAAGAATCCCAAGTAGAGGGAGAAGAAAGAAGGTGAATGAAACTGTTATACAGTGAATCGCCGAGCCATGAACGCCAGGGAAAAAGACCAAAGTAGAACATGAAAAGCATAATCACTCAACCAAAATTGAAAACACAACTATTGAAATAATTGGTACTTCCAAATAATTCAACATCAATAACAAACCCAAATAAAAAAAATAAATAAACATTCACACACACCCAGATCAATTTGGAACTTCAACTTTAAAGAAAAGGAAAATGGCACAAAAAAAAACTCAATTGAAATATGAAAGAACCTTACATGGAGAATGCTGAAGTGAAAGAACAGAACTTGTGCACAGAAGGTGGAGCATGAATGAAGATTACAAACAACATAATGTATACATTGAGAACATAGAAGAAAGACACGTGGGGAACTGAAAAGACAAATTGATAGCATGGGAAGAAGACACGTAGTCACAATAGAGAATGAGAAAGACAAAAATACCCTGAGAGCAATGAAACATGCATGTTGAAACAAGCCTTTTCTAATATAAGTAAATATATTGAGAGAGAGAGAGAGAGAGAGAGAGAGAGAGAGAGAAAGGGGGAGAGAGAGAGAGAGACACACTAAGTTGAAAAAACTCAATCCATGTGCTTCCTACGTAGTACGCCCGGATTGGTTGAATTAAAAAGACTTGGATTGCGATGTTTTGCTCAAATTAAATATATTTAAATTATAACATCCTCTTTATTAAATAATCAAATTTATTAAATTAAAAATAATTAATTTGCAAGACTAGCTTATTTGATAAAGTTATCATTTAAAAATAATTAATATAAATCAATAACTCATTCACTAATTAAATTTTCATATCTTTTAAAAAAATGATTACGAATAATTATCGCGATATAGAAATTATATTTAATTAGAAAATTTGAGTTAACCCTTAAGAAAAAAATTTATTTGACATGAAAATTTTAAAAAAGAAAAATAAAGTTATTAGTATAATATATTTAATTATTTTACAACAAATAACACTTACGAAATAAATTTATCAAGTAAAATAAATAATTAAAAGTCTTTTCGTTTTCCTACAAAAATTTCGTAGCATGTTTATTATTATTATTGTTGTTGTTGTTGTTGTTGTTGTTGTTGTTGTTAATACTATTATTGTTGTTTATTGTTGTTATTATTACTACTACTTTTACTACTCTTCGTCAATTCTAGAAAAGTTGAAGTTCACGCTAGGGCTTAAGAGAAGAAAGTTCAAGATTGATCAATTTCGTGGAGAATTGTGTGTGGATTTCATCAAGGGGTTATCCCTACGAGGTATGTGATATCACATAACGTTGGTTTAGTCCATCCATGAGTTAATCATGATTCAATTTAGCGAAGTATTTTAGATTTGAAAGTAAATCCTTTTAGTTATTAATTAAATTGGTTTGAATTTTTGTGGGTTGTGTTGTAGGATTTTCCTTGAGAATGATTCATGTTTTTAGTTGTGTTTTTTGTGTAGAATCTGATATATATTTAAGGTATAAAGATCCTAAGTATTTGGGCAAAGAACCAATTGACTTACAGGGTTTAGACATGAAAATGGAGAAAAAAAAAATTGTCAAACACCTAGGAAAGGGGTGGGGAGTCAACCAGCTAGTGCACCCCAAAAGGTTCCTTGAAGTATCACCCTCGGGAGCAGTGCCAGCCAACACGGCTCTGAGGTTTTCCCTTTGGCTCCCCACGCATCTCAGAGCTCTATGGACGCCAATTTTTCCCATTTCTTCCTCATATTTTAATACTAGTTTCTCAGCAATGTACCAATGTTTTCTAGTTGATTCCAAAAATCTTACGTACATCTTAAAGTAA